ATTTTTAATTAAAATTTTTTAAATTTTATTAATAAAAAAGATATATCTATAATTAAAAATATTTTCAAAGGTTGTTTCTTATTTATACTAAATATCAAATAGATTGTTCATCAACTTCTCAATAAAAGAATATTGTAATTTTAAGAAAGGAAATACTCGTATGTAGATAGTAGATAGGTGGTAAAATCTACATTTTTCCAGGCCGGATGGTAGTGTTGAATTGGGAGTTCAAATTCTAATCTGGCCTTTCCTTTTTCCCTCAATACATCAAAAAAATAAATTAAGAGATCAAACAAGATGCAAAAATATTTAATTGGTAGTGATATAGGGATAATTTTTTTTATAATTTTTATGAATTATTAAATAAATAAATGTATTTAATATCATATGTTTCAAGTGAATAAAAAAATAAATTATTTTAAATAATACGTAATATTATATAAAAATAATAATATAAAAATTATCTCTAAAATTTATTTTTTATATTTAATTTTTAATTTATATGTGAAAAATATACAGTAATTAATCTCAAGTTACACCTTTGACAATTAAACTAAAAAACTTAAGTGCATGCAAAATCTTTTCAAAAGACTGAGAAAGAAACTCAATTACTATCTTAGCATTTACTTGTCCAAACTTTTTTACTACCTCTATAGTCAAGTTACTTATCAACAACTCTATGTCTTTCATCTTGTCAACTTTATATATGGTTGTTTCCAAATCAAGTTCTTCATTATTGTAACCCTTAAATTAACTAAATTAATAAAGTCTATGTCCTGTAGTCTAAGGTGCTGGCGCAAGAAGCAACTTCTTTAGCGTAGGAACTTTGTTGGAATGAAACTTTCCCACCAAATGTTTATGACTTGCTCATCTCTGATTTGAGGGGATTATGTTGATGTGCTGCAGCTGTTTTCTACTCATGATGAATGAAATTCACATTTGAACATCATACACAAAAAAAAAAAAAAAAAGGGTAGCACTTGGGCGTTTGGCCTAGTGACGACAGATCACGTATAAATGCATTTCTCCATATTAAGGTAACAGTTCGAGTTCGATGTTCTGTAGTCAAATGTATGTTTTTTCGTTGTTCATCAACCAAAAACAAAAAGTATGTTGTCGTAACAGTCCCAAAGCTTGAATTCTGTACTTTGTCTACAACATATATATTTAACAATGGTTGCCATACCATGAGTTTAATCATTGTATAAGACATGTTTACATATACTAAGTTAATAATAAGAAGACATGTATAATATTAGCGTTTATTAGTGAATACATATATATAAAAAAAAAAAAAAGGAGTTTAAAAACAGTTAAAACTATTTTGTTTTAATAAAATATTTAAAAATAATTAAAACATCATTATTATTATTACTTAAAAAATTAAGATCTTTTAACTTATTAAATGGGTTCCAATTCCAAACAATTAAGAACAGAGTAAACTAAAAGGCAGAACTGTCCCCTCCAACGTTGGAGTCTTGGACTCTAGACTCTCTCCACTTCTAACGTAAAACAAAACACTTCACTAAGAATTCCATATTTTTCTGCCATTTTCATGGATCTTCAACTTAACAAGGAAGACCTCAAAAAAACAACAGTTCTTGTTCATGCTCTCTGTTTTCCACAGTCACCACACTGACATTATTAAGAATCCCTCGTATATCCCTTTTCATCTTCATTTTCTACGTGCATGATTTCTTGAACGTGACAATGTTCATCTTCCTCATCGATTCTTGACATTTGGTTAATCGAAAAACTTTCTTCCTTTTTTTTTTGGTGGATATCTGGAATATCCATAGAATGGCGTGGTTTAAATCAAGCTACAATGTAGCCAGTCTTGCTGTTAGAAGTATCCGCAGTCCACCGGGTGTAATGCACCGGATGGAAGGTCGAATTTTTCCCTCAAAGCATCGGTATTTTCATGCCACGGTCTGCAAATCAAAAGGGCAACCCTCGTCAGTTCCCCAATCCGTCCCCCTCTCTCGATTATCAGACAGCTTTCTCGACGGAACCAGCAGTGTCTACTTGGAAGAGCTTCAAAGAGCTTGGGAAGCAGACCCCACCAGCGTCGATGAGTCGTGGGACATTTTCTTCAGGAATTTCACCGGACAACCACCCACGGCGTCCGGAGTTTCGGGGCAAACGATGCAAGAGAGTATGCGTTTGTTGTTGCTTGTCAGGGCTTACCAAGTGAACGGTCACATGAAGGCAAATTTGGATCCCCTGTCTCTGGAACAGAGGGAAATTCCGGCCGAGCTAGACCCTGCAGTTTATGGGTTCACGGAAGCTGATCTTGATCGGGAATTCTTCATCGGAGTATGGCGCATGTCGGGGTTTTTATCCAACAATCGTCCGGTACAGACTCTCCGATCGATCCTGACCCGGCTCGAACAGGCCTACTGCGGCAGCATTGGGTATGAGTACATGCACATTGACGATCGGGAGAAATGCAATTGGTTAAGGGAAAGAATCGAAACCCCAACTCAATTGCAGCACAACACAGAACGCCGGTTAGTGATTCTTGATCGATTAATTTGGAGTACACAATTTGAGAATTTCTTAGCTACAAAGATGAAAACAGCGAAAAGATTCGGTCTTGAAGGCGGGGAGACGCTGATTCCCGGCATGAAACAAATGTTCGACCGGGCGGCTGATCTGGGCGTCGAAAGTATAATCGTCGGAATGCCTCACAGAGGGAGATTAAACGTTTTGGGGAACGTTTTCCGAAAGCCTCTCCGGAAGATTTTCAGTGAATTTGATAAGAAATCAAAACCAGTGGAAGAAGTAGGACTTTACACCGGCACCGGAGATGTTAAGTACCATTTAGGAACTTCATATGATCGGCCGACTAGAGGTGGGAAGCATATTCATTTGTCTTTGGTTGCGAATCCGAGTCATTTGGAAGCTGTAGACCCGGTTGTAATCGGAAAAACCAGGGCAAAACAATACTATTCAAATGATGTGGAAAGGACTAGAAACATGGGTGTGCTCATTCATGGGGATGGTAGCTTTGCTGGGCAAGGTGTGGTGTATGAAACTCTGCATCTCAGTGCATTGCCAAATTACACCACTGGTGGAACCATACATGTTGTGGTTAACAATCAGGTCGCATTTACTACTGATCCAAGGTCTGGGAGATCTTCACAGTACTGTACTGATGCAGCAAAGGCCTTGAATGCTCCGATTTTCCATGTCAATGGGGATGACATGGATGCTGTTGCTCATGTCTGTGAGCTTGCTGCAGAGTGGCGCCAGACTTTCCACTCGGATGTTGTGGTTGATATAGTGTGTTACCGGAGATTTGGGCACAATGAGATTGATGAACCTTTCTTCACTCAACCTAAAATGTATAAGGTTGGTTAATTGCTTGTTGTTCTAGCCTTCTAGGTATGTTAATTGTACTTTCTTTTGTAAAGATGCTTATCCGGTTATCCGTTGAGTTGGTGCTTGCTAATAGGTCATTCAAAAGCATCCGTCGTCGCTTGAAATTTACAAGACGAAGCTTCTAGAATCGGGGGAGGTGACAAGAGAAGACATTGACAGGATGCAGAAAAAGGTTGATGCTATCCTCAGTGAGGAATTCTTGAATAGTAAGTCATATGTTCAGAATAAAAGGGACTGGCTTTCAGCTTATTGGCAAGGATTCAAGTCACCTGAGCAGCTTTCGGTGATTCAGAACACAGGGTCTGCACATTTGCTGTTAGGATCTTCTTGTTGTGTCTTCAATTCCAGGATTATATGCTGATATTGCCATTCTGTTAACAGGGTGAAACCGTATGTACTTAAAGCTGTTGGCAAAGCTATTACAGTTCTTCCTGACAATTTCAAGCCTCACAAATCAGTAAAGAGGGTATATGAAGAACGTGCTCGGATGATTGAAACAGGAGAAGATCTAGACTGGGCAATGGGGGAAGCACTGGCCTTTGCAACATTGCTAGTGGAAGGTAATCACGTGAGACTCAGTGGCCAGGATGTTGAAAGAGGTACTTTCAGTCACCGGCATGCTATGGTTCATGATCAGGAAACTGGGAATAAGTACTGTCCTCTAGCCCATGTCATGGAGGACCAAAATGAGGAGATGTTTACTGTCAGTAACAGGTAAAGAAAAGTTTCTTAACCTTTGTATTGTTTGTCATCCATAATGTTTCTTTTAAGCGATAATTGGTGCTCTTGGCAGTTCTCTTTCAGAGTTTGGTGTTCTTGGATTTGAACTGGGTTACTCAATGGAAAACCCGGATGCTTTAGTACTGTGGGAGGCTCAGTTTGGTGATTTTTCTAATGGAGCACAGGTTATATTTGATCAGTTTTTGAGCAGTGGGGAGGCAAAGTGGCTGAGACAAAGCGGGCTTGTGGTGCTGCTTCCTCATGGTTATGATGGACAGGGCCCTGAGCATTCAAGTGCACGTCTGGAGCGTTTTCTACAGGTATTCTGCTTTCACCTCTCATGTGAAGTTTATTGAATAATCTCCGTAACACGTTAGAATTTCCATGTGACTACGCTCATTGAGTATTGAGATCTATAGATGTTGTGCAGATGAGTGATGATGACCCCTATGTTATACCTGAGATGGATCCAACTCTTCGGAACCAAATTCAGAAATGCAATTGGCAGGTTGTAAATGTCACAACCCCTGCAAATTACTTCCATGTTTTACGGCGTCAGGTAAACTCAGCACTAGAGCTAGGGTTGTAGAGTTCTTAGTTACTTGGATTTCAAGCTTCCTTGTTTGCTTACACATATGGTCTGTGTCTGCAGGTTCACAGGGATTTCCGGAAGCCTCTGATTGTAATGTCTCCAAAGAACCTGCTTCGTTACAAGTTCTGCAAATCAAACTTGTCTGAATTTGATGATGTCCAAGGCCATCCAGGTTTTGACAAACAAGGAACCAGATTCAAACGCCTTATAAAGGACCAGAATGACCACTCTGAAGTTGAGAAGGGTATTAGGCGCCTGATTCTTTGCTCCGGAAAGGTGTGTTTGTCTTCTGTTCTCTGCAGAATTATGTTACAAAGTTTCTCAGATAGATACTCTCACATTTTGTAGATATATTATGAACTTGATGAAGAGCGTAAGAGGATGGAAGTGAATGACATTGCAATATGCAGGGTAGAACAGCTTTGTCCATTCCCATATGACCTAATCCAGCGAGAGCTACGACGCTATCCAAGTATAAATATTTTATTAATTGCAATTTGGAGTTTCTCTACTTAGTTTCATGTTGACATCCTAGTGCTAATAGATTTTCCAATTTGTTGATTGTATCAGATGCTGAGGTTGTTTGGTGCCAAGAAGAGCCAGTGAATATGGGAGCATACAGTTACATTGCACCGCGACTTTGCACAACCCTGAAAGCACTAGGCAGAGGATCTATGGAGGACATTAAATATGTTGGTAGAGTTCCATCTGCTGCCACAGCCACTGGTTTCCTCCAGGTTCACCAAAATGAACAGGCTGAGATTCTCCAGCGAGCAATGCAGCCTGAACCAGTGAAATATCCTTACTAAAACTGTTCCAAGACAATCCTATCTTGATTTTCCCAACTCCTGTTCTTTTTCCATTTTATTTTCAACCAGAGCCATGAACATCAACAATTTTTCCTTAGAGAAAGCAATCTCTTAGTGAGTAAAATAATTGAATTCAGCTTCAAAACCAATTTCTATTTCCCTGTTATTGTTTCAGCAACACATAATCAACAATCCAGAAAATGAGCTTTCAGGTTTGAGAAGTGCGACATGACATGGAAGCATTAATATGTTACAGCAAATAGAAATATATTAAAGAATAGCCAGAAATATCGTTTTCAGTCCGGATTGTCTAAAAAACATGTTAATCAAGCACGCGCAGGAATTCATTAAAGACGTTTAAGTCTTTTTCACTCCAGACTACAGAAAGCATCTGAGTAATAATGAAAAGTTGGTTGTTTTCCAGAGCCAGAAAATGTGAAATGATAACAACTTTTTCCCCTATTTCCTCTTTATAAAACCTAAAGGCAGCCCGAGGTTTATGCTACTTTCCCTAACATTAGGCAGGAAGCCAGGAGCTCACTGGATTCATATTTAAATTTGGGGTATCAATGCATCAAGAACGAATCAGAGCAATGAAAGAGCTCGTGGAGTATGAGACGGACAGCATTTGTATTAACAAGGAAAAATGGTTTCATAAACGTGGTGAATGGGGTAGTAAATAACCTCTAAATCCTTATTCGGCCTTTAATTTGAAGCCACTAAATTTCATCCACGTTTGAGGCAAGGAGTGGTGCCTTTTTTCCTGTCTCTATCTTGACTTCAAGTCCCATTTCGAAGTTTACCATATAGAAATTAGACTTGGAAGTCAATTTAAATTATCACCCAAATCTTAAGTTCTACATAAAAAGAATTGATTTCTGACTCTTGATTTATGCATATCCAAGTCAGAATCAGAACCCTGTCATAGAGAACAAATTAACTATAAAACCCCCACTACTAATCTAATCTCATTAGATATGCTTAGTATATATACTTATTCAAGGTGTAGACATTGAATTTTGAAATTTCAAGTTTGAATCATATGTTAGATGAAATATTTAAAATTAGTGCTTGTTATATAATTAGTAACCTAAAATTAAATTCATATAAATTCATACTTTTGTTAGTTGTTACATGAATCTTCACTTTACCTTAGTTTTTGACATTTATAATAATTTTCTTTTGAGAGTGGGCAATTATTGCAAGAAAAAGGGAAATGACTTGAACTCAAATCCAATGAAAACTATTATATATAAGTAGCAAATCACTTATTACCAAATCATTCATTTATACTAATTTGATTCTTGAAAATTTAAATGTCCTTGTCAGATATTTAATTATGATTTCATGTAATATAACTACTATACTTTTCTTGAAAAAAAGTCATTTAAGTTTGTAGTACCCTACTTTTCTACAGGAAGAAATTAATTTGGGGTGCAAGAAGAAAAAATATCTGAGTAAATAAGAGATGGAATGAAATCGAGCAAAATATGGCTGAAATGAGAGGATGCGAATATTCACGAGACCCAACTGCACCCCAATAACTTATGCTTTGGATTAACGCATGCGTTACAGAACAATGTCTTGTAAAAAGGAGATATAAAAGCAGAAATTATGAATTCATTCCCATAACATCCGAAGGCTTTGCTGAATCGGATAGTGTTACGTATACGCGAACCCCACCAAGTGATCTCCACTTCATAGACGACTTGTTGTAATGGCCCCTTTTTTCTTCCACTTTTCCTGCATCCGTCAGCAGTGATGGTGTTAGGAATTTGGTTTTGATGTTCTGTCTTTAGGAAATGGTAAGTGGAGTCCCTTAATATGACTTTGATCCTTTTAGTATATAAGCAAGGGCAAATTCTGCATCATTCAACACAAAATAAGCTAGTTTTTCTAGTATACAGGTATTGAGATATGGGAATTGGGTCTGTGGAAAGGATTTTCAACCAAGCAAAGCCTTTTCTTGGTGTTATTTTCATGCAATTTGGCTCTGCTGGCAATTCCATAATTGCAAAGAATGCACTAAACCATGGCATGGACCAACATGTCCTGGTTGTTTACAGGTATGCCATAGCCACCCTTTTCATTTCTCCCTTTGCCCTTGTTTTAGACAGGAAAATCAGGCCAAAGATGACCCTCTCAGTCTTCATTAAGATACTTTTGCTGGCATTATTAGAGTAAGGATTCTTAATCTTCCAATAACCATCCCAATCGATTTACTAACTTTCAAGTGTAGTTTACTAACTAATTATCTCTGTTTATTTCTTTTGCACAGGCCAACACTCGACCAGAACCTGTACTATACAGGAATGAAGTACACAACCGCGACTTTTGCAAGTGCAATGTGCAATATTCTTCCTGCCTTTGCATTTTTGATGGCTTGGATATGCCGGCTTGAGAACGTTAGGCTGAGGAAGATTCATAGCCTGCTAAAGATATTAGGCACCATTGTGACTGTTGGGGGAGCCATGCTAATGACTCTGGTCACAGGACCTATGCTGCCTTTGCCATGGACACAGGTACATAATGCCCAACAGGGTGCACTTTCTTCTGCAATTACCAAGCAAGATCCCATAAAGGGTGCCATGTTTATGGGTATAGGCTGCTTGTGTTGGTCTAGTTTTATAATTCTCCAGGTAAGTACATGCACTTCATAAAGTTAATTAATTTTACCGAGTGCAAGGGTGCCATGAATATTGAACATAGATGTTTTATGTATTTTACAGGCAATCACCCTGAAATCATACCCCGCCCCGCTTTCCCTAACAGCTTGGATTTGCTGCATGGGAGCCATTGAAGGCACCGTTTTTGCCCTGGCAATTGAAAAAGGCAGTATTGCAGGCTGGTTCATTTTTCACTCGTATTCTAAATTAGTAGCTCCAGTATACAGTGTAAGTAACCTTAATTGGGCTAAACTGCCTATTTAGTACCTACAGTTATAGAATGAATAATGCCTCAGTCCTTAATGTTTTTTTCGTACCATTTTGGTGCAGGGAATAATCTCTTCTGCCGTGGCATATTACATTCAAGGAGTGGTAATAAGGACTAAGGGACCTGTTTTTGTGACTGCTTTTAATCCTCTTAGTATGGTCATTGTGGCCATCTTGAGCTCCTTTGTTTTGTCAGAGATATTGTATTTAGGAAGGTAAAAATATTATATGTACATTTTTCATTTTTTAGCTAATCTCAACTGAACTCGTTGATTTATGTGCTAATTATTCATGCTACTTAATTATCAATCATCCCAACCATATATTTTAGGGTTATTGGAGCAATCGTCATTGTTGTCGGCCTCTATCTGTTCCTATGGGGAAAGTGCAAAGATCAATCCTCAACTAATAGGGCGGCAACCGCAGACCCTGGTGATAGAGAAATGACTGCCTTGGATGAGTTGAATCAAGATGCTGTCGTAATGGATGTAACGTCCAAAGTGACATCTGACCATGAATCTGTTTGAGGGAAATGCAGTCCAGTGCCTCAAAATCTTTTATTTTGGGTGCATGGATATCGTTCTCTTTTTATTGAAAGATATGTATTTGTTTCGGTTTCAACGATATACTAGTGGTGCCTGATTAGTAAGGCAGCACAAAGCTTGGAAAACTAAATGCATGAATCTTCCCTGTGCTTCCCTAACGTGGATTTCCATCAATACTAATTATGTTATTATTGGAAGATTGATAAGCAAATCTTTGCAAATATATGTTTTGGAACTTATTCTGGAAACTACTTTTGGGATGAAACAGTATATCTTCCTTGCTGAGAACCAAAAAGAGTATCTACTCTATATCTGCATTCCTTTATGGCAAAAAAATGGAAAGACATTATAAGTTGACTCTACAATTTGGCAAAGCTAAATTTCAGTGGCCTAATCTTGGTATATACAACCAAATCTCCAAGGCTGGTTCCTCAGGCCAACTGATCAATTAGCAGAGAATAGGATAAGGAGGTTTCTAAACCACTGGAATTTTACTCTACTTATTCAGGCGTTCAGAGGCATTAAAGTTTGGCTATTGCCATAAAGTTCACCTGATCCATCTGGAACCTTAAATCATTTAAGTTCAGAAAAGATGAGGGGCTTACCACAATTACTAATATGTCCAACTCTGTATTTCAATTACCCCATCCATACCAGTTGCAACTGTAGTTTTGATAGGATATACAATTGTCTAAACCAGACAACAAAATAAAGCCTATAGGAAATCTGGAAAGTCAAACTGCCCATTAGCATACATATATTACCCAAAACCCATAAAAATTATGCAATTTACCATAATATACATGCTGTATCCAGCCATCTGACCTTTCTCACATTGAAGGCTAGGTCTTCATTTCAAGACGGCAATGAAACTTCATCCTTCCCATAGATACGCTGAAGTTCACGGGTAGCAGCTTGATAAGATGCTGGGAGGAGGAACAAAAATAAAAATCAAATGTGAGAATAAAGAATACTAGCTTTCATGGTCAAGTGGGTTAGTTCACATCACTAAAATATCTCCATTACCTTTCCATACACGAAAGTTCTTCTCATTAATTTGAGACCCTGTCACATTTTGAATTGCATCAAAAAGCATCTCCTGAGGAGTATTCTTCAGCTCTTGAACGACTGCATAGATAGTCTTTCCATTCTCAAAGTAAATATGATTGTTGGGGTGCTTGGTCTTGCAATTAGCATGACGCTCAAACTCATAAGCATTCAGAGCCTGCACGACAATTGAATGACCATAGGCAATGGAGCTTAGATATATTCATGTCTTCTCGTGTTTCCTTTTCATTTTGTTACTGTATCTTTCTTAGGGGTTGAGTTAGGGAAGCAAAAGAACGGATCGGTTACCTTCTCAAACTTGCACTCTGTACAGCCACACGAATACCCAGTCCCTTTTATATAACCTTTAAGACTTTTCTGCAAAGCAGGCAGAAAGGCAACTCATGTCAAAAGAGAAAACCAAAAAAATGAAATTGAATGCAATTAAAACATAGGATATAGTTCACCTCCCGCGACCATGAAACATACTTCACATTAACCCCATCGAGGATGCCAGTTGATAGCAAACTTTTGACATTGGAAGGAAAGTTGTTTGGAGGAACCTTTTTTGCAGTCTTTGGCTCTTTAGTCTTGGGCTTGGTATCAGTTTTAGAATTACTTTTAGGAGCACCATCTACATTTGAATCCGGAGTGGCCTCAACCAACTCTTTCTGACCAGCCACATCTGGTACTTGCATTGGGTTATGATTATTCATCAACAAATCATAGCTAGTAATGATACTGCCAGGGCGATTTGCCTCAGTTTCGTCATGAAAACTCTCAAAAGATATGGCATGGCACTCATCCTTGTTGTAGTTGTGACCCACAGACAGAATGCTGGAATCTCCTTCGTCTTGGGCAGGACCAACTGCTGTGACATTGAAATCTGCCTTATCATAGGATTGGCCAATGGATATGAGATTACCAACTCCTTTCTCACAGGAAGGACCCACACTCTCATGTTTGTTGTATGAGGGAGCCATTGAAATGAAATTGTCATTCCCATTGTCATATGAGGAACTCAATGATATGAGATTGCTATCTCCTTTTTCATATGATTGACCTATTGATATAAAACTGCCATCCCTCTTGTCAAATGACTGACCCATGGACAAGATAGTCTCATTTCCCTTATTATAATTATGGCCCATGGATATAAAACTGCCATCTCCCTTGTTAAAGGTGTGACCTATTGAAATGAAGTTTCCATCCGCTTTTGAGAAGGCTGGCCCCATTGAGATGGTGTTCTCATCCACATTACCATAAGTTGGGCCCAGAGATATGGTGTTGTCACTTCTATTATATGCAGTACCCATTGATGCTGGCATGCAACTGTTTGAATCCCTCACTTGATTGACTTTAACTTTCCTAACTCCAAAACTAAGACATGGAGAGGCATCTTCAGTGGTATGAGACATAGACAAGCTTACTGAGGATCCACTGTCATATTGATGCTCAAAATCCTTTCTTCCCACATTCATAATCACACTATCAATCGGAGTATTCCCATCACCCAGGTTGAAAGTTTGTAAGGACTCAGATCTGAATGGGTGATCAGGGAACTGCCCTGTAACTGACTGAAAACTGGAAGCATTTGGCCATGAAGAAACAGTCACGTCTGAAATTCCTGAAACTGGCCTGCTGCCAACTGCTTCTATAGCCTGCCTCTTGTTGCTGAATAATTCTGGTCCAGTAGAATCCATAAACCACTGATGACTGCGCTTTGGTTGGATTCTTGAGGAATTATTGTAACCCATCTCTCCATCAGTCATACATCCACCATCTCTCAGCATCCAAAAGCTTTTGTGTTGAAAAGACTGCAGAAAAAATTGGAAGCAAACTTCAATTAAGAGACAGAAAGTAGAATCTTAATAAAACAAGAGTACCTTCAGAACAGAAAAGAAGAAGTTGTCATATTACAAAATTTAAAATCAAGATACCATGCCATCAGAAAATTGAGAGAAGTATAAAGAATAGATGCATATCAAGCACAAAGCCACATGTCAATGTTAGTTTGTGATGATAAATATCAGCACAAACTAGTTAGAATTATATAGCTTAATTTGTTCTGCCATAGATCCAAGCAAGCTTTCAGAATGAGAATCCGATATTTATTAAACATCATTAGTCCAAGAAAAGTATATTCAATACTTGATTATAAACTTTGATATTTAAGGCCCTTGATTTCCACCTGTTATGCTTAAGCTAGTTAATGAAAAGACGCCAAGGGGGCACCTGCATGTACAAGTGACATTTACAAGAGAAATCCTCCTTTGAGTTAAAGGTTGACCAATGGCCAGCAAGACACATCAAATTAAGTTTCCATATGCACAAGAAGTGCATATGCAGAAAAATAATCTCTCTTTGTTCAGGAAGAATGCTCAAAAGCATTAAATTAAAACTCATTATATCCTAGATATTCAAGATATTCCTAGATAAATAGGAGACCCGCGGCTCCCTCTTTCAGTTTAAGAGCACAAATGGAGAGCAATTTCAAATTTCAGTGGAAGAATAAGGCCAAGTTGTTAAAAAAACCCTAGTTCCTGAGAAAAATTGACGCATGATTTCAAAAAAGAGGGCAGAAAGGTGCCTCTAATAAATACGTTAGCTGCCACTGTAAGTCAGTATCAGGGAAAAGAGGTTAAATCTATCAAATTAGTTCTTTCCTTTGGACAGTAGATTACTTTCCTGTTTAACTCAATGTATGTTGGATATCATACCATCTCATTCCAAAACAAATTTCTCAGTATTGTTACATCCAGTAGAAATCATTAGAATCTTTTATGTAAAAATGCTCAGCAATGTCATTATTTTTGGGAACAACCCAATTTTAGATGAATACTTCCAACACCAAATGGCTGATGCCTCTAACAACATCATTTAAAGCATGTCATGCAGAAAATATACAGATAATAAAAAATTGCTACACAAAAATAAGCTTAGACTTCATATTAATCACATGCCTAATTAAGTTCCAGTAAGATGAAATCAGAACATAAATCACCAATTATGCGAATCTTGGTAAAACTATAATTCCAATGACTTTTTACTTAAAATGCATATCCTCAGACATGATATTGCTAACAGCAAAACACAAGTCTTGCTCAAACAATGACAACCAACTAATGAAAACAGGATTATCAACACAGAATCCAAGTCCAACACAAGATAATGCTGGCTATATACCAAACAGGAACAGTACTTTCAACGGACACGCATGCCTCAAAGAATCACAAAACAGACTACCAGTAAAGACATAATTCCAAAAAAACTCCATCGACAGAGGCCAAAATTCCAATACAAGATTTGACACACGAAGTTCAGATAGAGTCGGAAACCAACCATTTTTTCTTAACTATTTCTGAGGTGAATCGGTGAATCACTTGAAATCGAACTTCTCTCTGCTCCACCGAAGCGACTAAATAAGCTACATCCGAACTCAGACCAGTGCCACCAAGCTTTAGTTTATCATCAATCGAATTCCACTGAAGTTAACGACGCACTCACCATCAACAGTAAACCAAAAACCTCGAAGCCAGACCTAGCATTTCAAAATCAAACAAACAAAAACCAAATCATCAATAAATCCATCCCTATCTATCATCGCACACAACATGCATTCAGCGATTCAGATAAAGAAAATTTCCACAGTTCTAGAGATAGAAAAAGTAGCTAAAATAAAAAACGAGAACGATGAATTTCAAACCCTATGCATACAGAAACACATCCGTTTGCCTGTCAGTCGCTGCAAAAAAGTGCAAACAGGAAACAACAGCAAAAGATGAGAGAACGAACCCTAGGAATCGAGATAAATGCGAGAGATTACAGAGTAAATACCTTTAGCCGGAGAGATCGCCGGTGATATTGTCCGGCGAGAATAGCAGGAAATGCGAAACGACTGCAGTTTTTCCTGTTTTTTTTTTTAAATTCTTGGAGAAGCGAAAAGGACTCTGTACAGGTTCTAGGCAACGAGGGAGAACTGACGGCGACCCGGCGCGGCGACGAGAGGGATAGTATGAAGAGACAGAGGATTGTAAATTTCTAGTTCTTTCTTCTGAGCCGTACACGTGGGAGATGATGATTCATGTAGGGCCTGATTATGTTTAAGGTTTTTCTAAGATGTAATCATGACCATTAAAAATTGATTTGACAAATTTAGAGGGGGGGAATCTAGGATGTCTTTAAATCCCGCCATTATTACGTTTATAATGAATTTGGCTCACGTGGCGGGATTTCATTTATTGGGTGGAGTGATTGCCTGCCTGAGGTGTGTATGGAAA